CAGCTACTCTGGGCGCTGAATGGGCCAGCCCAGCACACAAGGCCCCGAAAAGCCTCCTAGCGAAATAATGATTTGTTTCCGATTCTCTGGCTAGAAACTGAAGTCCCAGACGTTAACCTTGGGTAGATGATGTAACCAGGAGCGCCTGCTTTCTCTCCCTTTTAATTCATCCTGATGTTGTCTTACCGAAATGGTGGTGTGAGAACTTCGGAGCCACCTGAAGCACGCGGCCTCCACAGAGGGGACCGCGTGTTGGGGTTTGGTCATCTAAGAAGAGGAGCTCTGGACCCAGCTGGCTTCCAGACGGCTGCCCCCTGGCCGTGCCCAGCCAGCCCTTCAGCAGGGGTCCCGAGGAGCCCAGCCTTGGTCAGACGCAGGCCTGGCACGGGGCGCCCCTTGCCATGCTCGGGCCTCGTGACGCTGGTCATGGGGGAGGCAGCAGGGGCCCACAGTGGGGCTCGGGGGTGGTTTCCTTTGTGCCAGGCGCTGAGCTCACACTGCACGCCGGCATTTATCCCACTCAGCTGCCTGAGAGCTTGCTATTACACAGTCCCCCATTTTCCCGACAAGAATACCAAGGCCCCGCCCAGTCTGCCTCCAGGCCGTTCCCTTGCCCACACTCGGCCGCCACAGCCCCCACGACAGGTGCTCAAAGCTCCCCGTGCACCAGCCCCCCGCCCTTTGACCCTCACCACAGCCTCTCTGTGGAGCCACCCAGCCGTCTGAATGCCCCTGAGGCAGAGCCCTCATGACCTCCCGGGGCAGCCCCGGGCCTGCATCCAGAGGCGCACAGACGCAGCTCATCGGTCCCAGGTGCTGGCCCTCAGACGAGGGAGGACATTGATCCTGCTCCTTGTCCCGGACTCACTGCTCAAAGACGTGGGGGGTGCCTCAGGAAATAAGACAGGATGGGAAGGAGAAAAGCAGGATGGGAACAGCGGCTGTAGTCAGACACATGGCCCGGGGCCCTCCCCAGGCCCCGCTTGTCATCTGTGGTGACAGAGGAAGTGAGCCCCAGCCCTGACTCCTGTGGGGACCCTGACATGCTCTCACTTCCCTGTCTGGGGCGGCGGGGGGAGGGGGGCTGTTCCCCACTTGTGGAGCCACCAGGAGGCAAGGGGGGTAGAGACCTCACAGTTCTCTGAACACTGACGTGCTGGCCGAGGGGCTCGGGGTCAGCCCTACCCACCACAAAAGCACAGGGGGGGCTTGAGAGTTTAGACCTCGGGGGGGAAAAGTCCCTCACTCGTCGGTTCCCATCACTGAAGTGAAACATCACACCGGGAACCCTGTAATATTCTCTCCACACGATCTACTTTTCCAATTAAACCCTAACTCCTCCAGGCTGATCCCAAGACCCATGGCCAAGCTTCCAGAACTGCGTGTAAGAGCCCAGCCCAAATCACACAGACGTCTGGAGTTTCCCCTTTTATTCTTACTCACATTCTTTGAGGCATAGCTTTGCTTCAGCAAGAAGGATACCAAAGCCAGGAGGGATGTCTGGGAGGTGAGGCAGAACCCCCTCCCCACTGGTGCCAGGCTTCAGCGAGAACTCAGGCGGCGGCGGGGCGTTCACGGTGGCTCTGTGGGGGCCAGGCCTGCTCCGCCGGCCTTGGGGGCGGGGGGGGAACGGCCTCTGCTCTCCGGCCGGGCCCAGCAGCAGCTAGTGGGGCGTCCTCGGCTCCAGGCAAGGCGGGCAGCGCAGGGGACTCTGCATCCCGAAAACGGCCCAGGTGGAGAGAAAGGGGCCTTCCCCTGAGGTCCGAGGTGGGCAGCACGTCACACTGAACTCCTGCTCCGGGCTCGAGGCGAGAGCTTGACAAGCCAACTAGACACGCAGGTGACATGGGGGGACGCAGCCTTCAAGTCCACCCCGGAGCTGCAATCTGGGGAGGGGATCAGGAGGTAGCAGGTGACTCCGGCCCCTGGGGGACGAAACAAACACTCAGTATTTACCACCCAGCACCAGAAGCCTCGAGACGCCTGAGCTGGCACCCGAGGAAAGTGCTAACTCACTCTCTCAACGGAAGAACGGAGCTGCCTTTATCCCCTGCCTAGGACAGCAGCAGCCGTGTCCTGTCAGCGCGGTCAGTGCAGGTGACGATGTCCCGAGCCCAGGGTCCGGGGGGCGGCCTGGGCACGTGTGCGTGGCCGGCGCTCCGGGCTGTCCCCACAGGCAGCCCGGCCGCGCTCTCCGGGCCTGGGGGGAGGGGGGGCTCCCGTGATAGCTGCCCACGTACATGCTAGCCCCATGGGCTTACAGAGCGCAGCCCCCTCTTTCCTTCTGGCTAAAGCAAGAGAAAAAGTGCTCTCCAAAGGCCGGGGCGGTGGGGGGGCGCTCCCCGCTCCCCCGCATGAGACCCGCGCCGGCCGCCCCGCCCCCACCCAGCTAGAGCAGCCGCTCGGGGGCCCGCAGGCCGCTGTACAGCGCGAAGCCCAGCGCGTCGATCTCCTCCGCGCACAGGCCGCCGAAGAGGTTCACGGCCGGGTTGAAGTGGCGCGGCAGGCTGGCCCGCTCCAGGCCGAGGACGAGCGCCTCCAGGGCCTGCAGGAAGCGCTGCCCCAGGGCCGCCTCGTCCCAGTCGGCCTCGGCCTCCCCCAGGCGCAGCACCACCTGGCTCAGGTGGCACTGGTCCAGCCGCGCCAGGGCCGGGTGGCCGCGGCACACCCCGCACAGGAGCCGCAGCTACTCTGGGCGCTGAATGGGCCAGCCCAGCACACAAGGCCCCGAAAAGCCTCCTAGCGAAATAATGATTTGTTTCCG